TTATCTTTGGTGAAAATGTAAACAATTGCACCAGAACACAAAAAATAAAATGCTTGAGGAATGAAACACACAAACAAAAACAAAAGCAAAACAACATACTTAACACAAATATATATTCACCTGATTAAGAGTCCTATAACTTGCTCTGTACTAGCAAAGAGTGCTCATAATAATAAGCAAGCTATAACTCCTCCCTTAAACAATGAGGCAGATGATGCAGTATAAGCTTTGCAGTATACATTACAATAGTTATTATTTAGGATCCCTTTAGGATATTGATTAACTGAGGCATAATAGCTGCAGTGAGCAGGGTGATTCAGCAACTGAAACAAAGGCAAGATGAAGAAAATAATCATATATGTGTTAATGTGGATATTGATGGCACATAAGAGGGGTACAGACATTCATTTCTCCCTGGTCCCAGACGTAAGGCACATTACAGGGCACACAGTTATCTCCAAACCTAATCCCCACCCCAGTATAAAAATCAGCATGACAACACGCTGGTTTCATTTGACATTTTGCTGCCTACACTATAGCTTCATCCCCCATTGAGTGCAGGACACATGTGCCCCTCAGTCTGCAGTCTGTTCGTTCAACGATCCACCTACCCACCCACCCGCCCATCTGTGTGTCCACTTTCCAACGGCACTTTACCACTGCTCCCAGCTCCAGTCATCCCCGCCTCCAAACACGATAAAAAAGCCTAAGATGGTGAGAAAGATGACGGCGTTTCCGGTCATCACCAATCCACAGGCACCCCACTTGATCTGCACGACAGAAATGGCCCATTAGATTTCCACTGTAATTTTGTTTTCACTGCACATGCACTACTTGTACGCACAGATGAATTTACGCTCATTTAGTATGATCTGAAACTAAATAAGTAAAGAGAACTCACGGTGTTGGTACGGGCCAAAACAATGGGTAGTCCAAACGATGATACCACAATGCCAGTTGTTAAGAAATAGGCCAGCTCTCTGCAGGCATTGCTGGATTCAGAGTCGTCACTGAGGCGTCTGGATATGAAGGTCGGGATGGGACTTAATATGTAGAAAATCAGGACAAACATCGGCCAGTAGACCCTGCAAAAACAGATGAAATTGTCAAAAATATTTACAAAGGACATGAAACACTCGTCTTCAAAAGAATGGAACATCTTAGCACACCTGAAGTTCAGTTTACTCGTCATTAGGAGTTCTAAAACTGTGAAACCAGTTACAGAAAAAAGTTCTGGGGCTCTTAGGGTGATTTCCAGTTTTGAAGTAGTAACTTCAGTCACATCAGAAACTGGCATTCCTGGAGTTTGACCAACAAGAGGACTATAAGGACTATAAATACAGGCCTTGACTGCATTGATCTGGCCTTTTTCTTTTGTCTCCAATCAAAAGTCACACAATGTAACTGCAGAGTGAATGATGTTGTTCAGAGCACAACCAAAACTCAGTTATTTCTGTAATAATGTAAGTCAGTGTCATAAAATAGCACGTATAGCTGCTGATACGTTTACAAGGAGAACTTACCCGTACGTTTCTATTGCACAGCCCAGCAGAAGAAATGTCAGTCCAATAGCACCACTAAAGGACAAACCAACCAGTGCTAAAACGAGACATCAATAACTCTACATTAATCACAGAGTTGTTTTTGGCCAAAATATAAAACAAATACACGGTAGGCGTGGAGCACTCGTGGCAGAGCTAAGAGTTAGGATACACTAGATAATAGCAACAACTCTAATGCATAAATCAACAGGTTAATAACTTATCTGGCAACAGATCTTAATGACCTGCGACAGAGACGCGAGTTTCGAGATGATACAGCAAACGTTTTGACCAGTATGGAAAACTCAGCTTACAAACTTTTAACTTCAAAAACTTTAACACTCAACTCTCGGCTGACCCAGCAGAGCCAAAATTAAAAAATACCTTTAATGCCTGCCATTGCGGTCAACGTCTGAAAACCCCCTCTTTGTGTTTATTTCTGCTCTTTGTGCACTGTTTACGTGCTCGGGCTCGATGTCGTCGTACAGGAACTTCCTGCTTCCTCGGTCGGGTTTTCCTTTCTTTGCATCAGGTGACCTCCTTAAAGCTACAGTAGCTCTGCGGCTAGCTGGGGCTTGAACTTCTTTACCGATATACTGTAATCTTAAAGGGGAAAAAGTTTCACCTCACACCATTCACCAAGGTTGACCCAAACAGTCCTAGCTGGTGACGTAGTCTCTCAATGACGAGCACGAGAGGATTTAGCGCGTGCTTCCAAGGGGGCTTTACACATCTGCGTGTTGTGTTACAATATAAGCTGCTGCAGTAATACAGACTACATTACTTATTCGTTACTCAAGTGTTTTAATTGTTTGTTACCTTAATTTTCCCTACATTTTAAATGTATATCAAGTCTATCATTATTATTATTATTATTGTTATTTATGACTATTTATCTTACCCAAGAGATACTTTCTTGTAGTTTTTCCTTATTGAATAACAACTACTATTACTTGAGTAAAAGTCATGACCCTACTTAAGTAATAGAACTAAAGTTTCAGTATTATAAAGTAGCTAAACATTATTCAGAATTATATAAAATATACTGCTGGATCGTAATTACTGATTTATTATGGCATATGTCACCATAATCTTACAGCTGGAGCTGGAACAGCAGCTTCTGTACAGCTGGGGAGCTTTATCCACAATAATATAGTATAATACACTGCTTGATTAAAAAAAAAAGGGAACATGTGATCATCACAGTACAAGAAATAAAAAGTTAAAAACGTTATAAAGCACTGAGTCCATTCCCCTTTGTTTGTGCAGGTACACTAGTGAGGCAATAAGAAAGCAATCCCAGCAAAAAGGGTCTGGTTTTGCAGGTAGTGGCCAAAGACCGCAGCCCTGCCCTCTTCCCTTCTGACTGATTTTTCTGTAGTTTTGCTTTTTAATCTGTTTTCTTGTCACTGTCTGTAGGTGGTTTCGCAAGTCGGTTTGCTACATCTCCCAACAGAGCGTGTGGATAAGATGCCATGCTGTGACACAAGGAGAGTTGGATAGGCCCGTATAATGGCATAAACCCATCAGCAGGACTGGTTTCTGATCCTTTGCGTGAGGAAAAACAGCAGGAGCACTGCCAGAGCCTTATAAAATGACCTGCAGCAGGCTACTCATGTGCATGTTTCTGACCAAACTGTCAAAAACAGACTCCATGAGCACGGTATGAGGCCCCAGCATCCTTTAGTGGGACCTGTGTTCACAGCTCAGCACCATGCAGCCGGTCTTTGCCTGAGAACAACAGATCTGCCAGGTCCATCACTGTCACCCAGATGAGAGCAGGTTCATGCTGAGCACATGTGACAGGTGTGAAAGAGTCTGGAGATGGCAGGACAAACCTTGTGATGCTTGTAACATCATCTGTGAAGCAAACAGGGCACCAGTGGCAGACCAGTCAGTTCTGGTGTTCTCTGGGGGCATGCCAATCAAGCTGCCCAGTGCTGTTACCCCAATGGAGTCCAGTTCAGCATATATTAGATTCATACTTTAAAATCTGCAAGAACAATATGAAACTATGAAGGCACTATATTCACAAATAATATATCCGGGTACAGGTTCTGTACTCTGGCCCTATACATGCTCACATCCAACAATGTTGGGCATTACTAGATTTGCAGATTACAATAGCATTGGTGTGGAGACACCAGAGGAGCCAATATATTTAGACCCCAGACACACCCTTGAATATAATACCATGTTATGGATTTACTTATCTACAAAAGGCATGAAAATACCTTTTAGTGCTTCTTAGGCACCTTTATACTATGCATGTAAATAGGTTTTGATTTTGTTTACTGACATTAGGTTTATCATTCATAAATACCTGACTTTTGTGTCCTCCTTAGTTAAGTTCCTCCTCCATTTGCAGTCTGTAATATAATATTGTGTTATTGACGGACAGATCCTGATCACAGAGTAACTATGCATGTAAACTTGTGCAATCTTAGACTGAAATTTTTTAGTGGAACCAAAACTCACACCACGACGGGCCTGAGATGAACCACAGCTGGCCTTCCCCTTGTTGTGTTGTTGTTCCCCTTCAGGTTCAGTGCATTATGGAGATGAAACCAGACAGAAAGGGACAGTACTTCAAAGGGCATGAGTGATCACAGAACTGGGGCAGATGTTTGTGGACTCGTGCTGTTGCCGTCCAGATGGAAATTATGTGGTGCACTCACCAGATATGGATAAGCTATTTGAAAAAATATTTTCTTGCAGTTTAAAAGTTTCCTTTGTTGTTTTTGCTTTGTTGGTGTACTAAAAAAGGTATCAGCATAAGTTGTACTTACAGATAGTGAAGTAAAAGAAGAAAAAAAGAAAAAAAGAGGACCCTTGTCACAGTGAAACTAAAAGATCTTTAGAAGATGTTTTCTTGGGAGCAGTCTTTAAATGCTGACTTGTTGCTTTTTTGTCATTTTCAGACTCAACAGAGTCAAACGAGCTGGAAAGCCGTCACTCACTCTCAAGCACCCACCCACGCACTCAACTTCAATTTCAGGTTATTATTCCCCTAAATTAAGGGGTACGCATGATCCAAATGACGGTTTTAGAGGATTAACAACAGGAAACAGCCCGTTCCTTCTTTTTAAACTCAGCACCTGCTGCTGTCATGTTCTAAGTTTCTCAACTGCACATGTCAAGTAGTCTTCAGTAATAACTGGTACAAAAAGAAAAAGATTTTTTAAAAAGAGACAGTGCTGATGCTGTTTTTCAAAGAGTTTCACTGAGGAAGTGAAAGTGCTACTTTATGAAAACATTGTGCTCAAATAGGTTCAATTTTTTTTTTTTTTACTAAAAACGCTGACCTTTCTGTAATCTTACAGATTTTAGCCAGGGCCTCACTGGTGAGAATGAAAATGACAGTTAACAAAAGGAAAATTGAAACAAAGTAAAGTAGATGTAATATCATCTGCCATAAAAAAGCACCAAAGCATGCCACAACCGAACCAAAAACAAAAACGCTGTTTAATATATCACATTTAATTTCATTCAACTGCACACGTTTGCATCATATGTAGCTACAACTGGATTTGAGACTTCCTTTATAAAAAAACAAACACAAACACAAAAAAACAGGATGGAAAAACTTAAAAAAGAGCGTTATTTTGTCAATTAATAAGGAATCATATAATGACAGACGGACCAGTTCGACCGGTCCTGTGATGAAGCTGAGAAATCTTTAGAGCGATAGTGGCAAGGGGTGCCAGCATCACCTGTCCAAAACAAGGATGGCACAATTAGAGACTCATGCACCTTGCTGCCATATGTAAAATCATCCAAACAACCACAGAGCAGTAACACTGTTCCTTTTCACCACACAGCGCTACATTTCATTTAAAAAGAGTTTCTGCTTAGTGATTCAAAGGTTTGTCTTTTTTGCCTGTTCTGGTCAAAATGCAGTTTTCACTTTTAGATACTCCACCTGTGCATCCCCAAAAACGTGTTCTTTCTCGTAGCTGTCGAGATAGATTTGAACTGTTGCCCCATCAAAACTGGTCCCACTGAGTCTGTAGATGATTCGAGAACCATCAGAGAAGATTATCCGCAGCCCCTGCAGTGAAGACAGCCCAGCGCAGACTGAGATACATTTTTTTAGGGTTTGCAAACACAGCTGAGAGGCTCTGATGCTGACAAATCGCATACATTATGTATCTGTGTATACCGCAAGACTATCATTACAGAAAAATGCACCACAGTGTTTTTCATGTACCTGGTTCCTGGAAATGGTGCCGTCTACCGGGTCTGCATACTCAAAGCTGTCTGCTTTCTCCACCTGGTAGATTTTGTCTTCCACAGCAAATCTTTGCCTCACAAAGGTCTTGTCGGTGATTGTGATCTCCAAATCCTCCATCATTTCACATGCTGCATCTATGTCTACATTCTCGTAGTCATACCTGGGCAAAATGTAAAGAGTAGAAACAAAAATCTAATGAGAAAAAAAAGGCTACATAAATAAATAAATAATAAACTAACAGGTACTTATTATTGATTATTGATGCCTTATTTTACATATGTTTTGTGATGTGGCTTAATTTGTGTTGATAATGAATATTTTGTAATCAAAAGTGAGTCAGTACAGACAATACTAATACTAATATTACTACAAATAATATTCTCATGTTAAATGTTCTGTCATACAGTGCAATACCACATATGTTCCACTAGGTGTCAGTAATGTTCTACATGTGTCTTCACATGTCTCGTCGACCCACCTGTTACAGCTTCATCTGTATCAGTGACACAATTTCTGCTTAACTATATTTCAGCCTCTTAGAACAAACAAATAAGCAAACAAATAATAAAAAAAAACTTTATCACATAACCACAGTAATAACACTGTGTTTTTTTAGTGTGTCCACATCTCACCTGGTGAAGTAGTTTCTTCCATATTTTAGCCAGTGGTCCTTAACTAAATCTTCCACACTCTTCTTTCTAGTGGCCAGGATAGACAGCCATGCCAGCACAGCCCAAAGCCCATCCTTCTCACGAATATGGTCTCCTCCTGAAGCGTGAAGTGGAATTAGGTTGACAGTGTTGAGAAAACATAAAACAAAAGCCCAGAATCAGAATCCTCGTCTTCTTCGATTTAGTTACTTGGCACGGACACGCAGTACCTGTACCAAAGCTTTCCTCTCCACACAAAGACAGCATGCCTGCATCCATGAGGTTCCCAAAGAACTTCCAGGCAGTGGGAGTTTCATATAGCTCGATTTTCGTTGCCTTGGCTACTCTGAAGGAAATACAATGAAAGAGTATTCTAAGGCAGTTTGTTTTGATGGTGATATTTGAAAAGCAGGCCACACGTTTACCTGTCTAATGCCGCACTTGTGGGCATAGTACGAGCAAAACCTCTCACCCCTGCATGCTGAAAGTACGGGATGCAAAAAATGTTGTCAGCAATCACAGCCACGGAGTCAGATGGGGTGACGAAGAAGCCATGTTTACCAAGGATCATGTTCTGGTCCTAGAAAGCAGAAAGAGGTTTCTCAGGCCCAAGGAAATGTCTTTTGAAGCTGCATTTTTATATTACATATATTCTTGTAATGTTTGAAAAAAACCAAACAAACAAGTAAAAAGCAGAAATAATAACTCGGTAAGCCCACCCCATCGGCATCAAATGCTGCACCAAAATCATACTGTCCGTCTCGCATGCTGTCAACCAGATCTGTAGCGTATATGGGGTTAGGGTCTGGGTGTTGACCTCCAAAATCCTCCTTAGGGACACAGTTAATGGCAGAACTGGCTGGACAACCCAACTCAACACACAGTATTCTCCTCACGTAGGGTCCTACCGCTGGAGAGCGGACAGGTGAGAGAGGACAAAGATGAACTAAGCAGATCTGGTGTTGCACAAAGTATTTTAAAACAACAACAAGGAGAAAACTGAGGCTCACAGTGCTTCAGCCCTGACGTTTTGGTTCAGTGTTTGGGGACGCTCAAAATAGATTTAGTAATCTAATGAGAGTAAAGTCACAGATCTGACAACCCAATGTTACCTCTCATTATTATCTCCATTTTGCTGTAATATTGTTAAGCTTCTCTTTTACGTTGCTGACATGAATGTGAGAAATATGGAAATCATATAGATTTGAATAGCATCATGCTTCATAAGCAAATGAGTTAAAGAACTTGCTGGAGTTGCGTGCAAATATAACTATGACATTATACGATAAATGAGTTAGTTATGAGAGCATTTTCTCTGACCTCCGTGCAAGGCATCCAGTCTTATCTTGAAGTGGTTCTTGCCAGACAGAAGCTCCTTCAGAGCAGCAAAGTCAAAGATGTTCCTCAGCATGTTAGCGTAGGACTCCACAGAGTCTACGATTTCCACTGCACAAATCAGAAACAAAACTCTATCCATCATCAGGGAAAGAGATACATAAATACACTTACAATACGCCTTTCACAAAGAAAAAAGACAATATGTGTAATTGTACCTGCAAAGAATATATCTGGTCAGTCATATAACTAGCCTCATATCCCTTTTCCCCCCGCATGCTCATTAATTTCGATGATGAATGAGAGACTAACATTAATGCTCTAGTTCACCTGTGAATGGCTTGAACTTGTTCTCCAAGTCAAAGGTCTGTTTTCCCATAGTTGTCAGATCCACTTGTAGTCCAGGGCAGATGGCAAACTCCTCAATGGTCCTGCTGATCTGAAAGATCTTGTTTGTGACTGCTTCGTTGGCTGGGCCTGGATGAGGCAGAAGAAGCCTGGTTTTATGATGACAGTGTAAAATTGCAGTATTGTAATAGTAGAAAAATCTTCTATTGACAGGAATAGTGATACTGAATATTGTGTGTTGTTTTGATGTTTGAACTTTGTCCCAGATTTGTGCCAATACAAGCATCACATTTTGTCTGTGTCCGAGCCACATATCCGAATGAGGCCTTATTAAATGCCTGACTTCTCCTGTATCACTATTTTGCACTTGGCCATTGCAACTGCATGCTTTCTTCTCTCAAGTTACCATACCTCCATTTGCAGTATTAAACTTAATGCCAAAGTCTCCATCAGGTCCACCGGGGTTGTGGCTGGCAGTGAGAACGATGCCTCCGATGGCTTTGCATTTCCTGATCATACAGGAGACGGCTGGCGTGGACATTATCCCGTGGTGTCCAATGATCAGACGACCCACCTGGGGAAAAGTCACATAGGCGTTTTTTACTTGGGTGAGAAAAATAGGTATCTTGATATATCAGCGTGAGGCAGGGGTGGGAATAGCAGTAAATATCAGGTTTGTCACAGGTCTTGTCAGAAGTAAATAGGATATTTTATTTCACAAACGGCACTTGCGGCACACCAAGAGCAAGTTCTATCATGTGTACGTGTATTTTAAATCCCTCTAATTATATCATTTACCCGGCCCAATTAGCAGACAAATTTGGATCTAATCTGGAACACTTGTGTAGGCCATATGTGTTCCAAACATCTGACGTGTGCTGTGTTTAAAGTGTCAGGTGTTTATGTCGGCAGAGAAAATAAAAAGCAACTGGTTAGGTTAAGTGGCTAAGTGGTTAGGTAGTATTTCATGCAAACCAGTGCTAATGTGGTATAGAATAAACATCAGGTGACCTTTCAGCCTACAAATTAAAATGCAAGTTATTTGCTTTGAAAGATCAGTAAATGGTGACTGAATGTAATGGTGGCGGATGTTTCTCTGCCAATAAGACTTAAGCCTTGCTTTCATTAATCTCCCAGGAAAAGGATCAGTTATGCTACTAAAACAAGGGGATACCCTCCCCACCCCCACCTCCCCGACCCCAGGTAGCTCAGATTATGTTTGCGGGAAGGATCCTATTATTAGAGGAGGCAAAAAAAAGGTCATAGAGGGAGTGATGGAGAGCATTCCCTCGACACGGAGAACTCTGGGACTTGGAAGTGTTTCAAAGTGACATTTCCGATATTTATTATTAGATTGGATATTAGATACTGAACAGAGATTAGTGTCATATCTAGTCAGTATCTTATATCCATATGCAATTTATCATTTAATTTAAAAGTTACAATTATTTTTTAAAAAAAAAAAATAAAACAAAAAATGGGGGTTTTTTTTGTTTTTTTCTACTTTTTGATTATAGTTTGGACAGTAAAAGCACAAGTCACAGGTTGCAGTTGACATGAAGGTACGATTGCTGACAAAGAGATAATAAGTTACTGGGGCAGGTGACACTGACACACATGCAGTTATCTGCTCATGTGCACACTCACCTGCCAGCATGCACACACAAACAACGTAAGCAGGCCCTTACACATGGTGACACTGACCCCATTGGCAGCTGCCATCTGCACAATGACCTGAGTAGCCGTTCGATTGAAGAAGCGTCCGTCTCCCCCCACCACCATGGTTGAACCCTGGCGATCGCGCAGGTCAATGGAAGAGAAGACACTCTGGATGAAGTTGTGAAGGTAGTTCCTTCTGGACTGGAACACATAGACCTTTCTCCTCAGGCCGTTGGTGCTGGGTCGCTGGTCTGGGTAGGGGGCTGTAGGGACAGTCAAGACCTGCAGAGGGCTGTTGTCCATTGTTTCAAAATAAAGGTCTAACTTAATGCTGCAGCACAGACAGCAAAGGGGAACTTGTTATTTAGAGGGAAATCCCCTGTCAGCTGACATGAGGAATGGTACGGAGGAGCAGAATGGAAAGGCAAGAGTTTGACTCCTCCTATTATTTCACTGGAAGCAGAGGGTGCTTGTGCAGCCCAAAATAACCTTCCAAACTAATGTGTGTGCAGAGACAGGCAGAGTAACTGAAGACGCTGCTTCACACATGTGCAGGGAGATCACTGTCAAGTCTGCATGGCAAAACACAAAGAAGTGTGTGTGTGTGTTTAGGTGTGGTTGTCGTGTGAATGGTTTGTCTATTTGTTTAGTCCTGCAGCTGTGATTAGACTCATTATGCATAAAAGAAGTATGACCTCTGTCATCAAAGTCATGTCTCACACTATCTCAGGAGAGGATATTTCTCGTTTTTAATGCTGTTTGTGGAAGCAGACAGTGGGACAAGCAGTCAGAGTGTAATCGGGAACACACATGTGCGTTTTTAAGGAAGTATCAGTTTTCACATCAGACATACTTCATGGTGCAATCAAATCTCAGTGAAGTCATCTGCACGCGATGGAACAAGACTGCCCTCTGGAGTTTACTGAGCCCTCCTAACCAATCAGTAGAAAAAAAGTTCAGCCTTTTGAAATATTTGTTCAAAAGTCAGTGTGCCATGTAAAATAAATAAATAAATAAACATTTATATGTTTTGTCTGCATAAATTTGGGTGCTGTTTTAGTTTTTTGATACTGAAAAAATGTGAAAATCCAACTAAAATGTATTTATTTTGAAGTTATTTAAAATGTACTTAATTAAAACAATGCAAAAAAATACATTAAATATTAAAACCACTACAGCATGGATTTAATTATTTATTTGTTTAATAGGAAACATAAAAAATTCACCTTACTTTATGGGAGCTTGAGGTCTTTGTTGATATATCAAACAAATTGGCCCCTCTTCCCACCCCTTACCAGAAATTAGTTTGTTGCGTCAGGGTAACAGTGTGCTATAAAGGTACCAAAATGTTACTGTTTTCTCAGACTCATGCAACAAAATCAGGCAATCATATGGTTAAGAGTTTCAGTGTGTGTGACACTGAATGTCCTGTATGAGAAGCTTATGAAACAGAGTTGGATATGATATTTATATTATTTGACTTTTAGAGTATCATTGCATCCTGGTACCTTACATCTCACTGCATAACATCCTCTCCAAGCACCTGAACACACTTCATTTACTACACACGCACATTATATATGTATGACCCTCAGCTGACCTCGGATCTCCTCATTTGTCCTCAGACCTGATTCCAGGATACTCTTACTCATGCTCGCTCTCATCCAGTTCATTGTTCTCACTGTAATGTGTCACATGTAAACACATTCTTTCCTTCCATAAAAGGTTCGTGTACCCATTTCCTGTAAGTTGATACATGTTAGTGTTTGGTTTGCCTGTTTATATTTATACATCCCACCAGTCAAAATGTCAGAACAACTTTTCTTCCTTACAACTCCAAAAATGATGCCTGTTGTTAAATTATATGGATTTCCTCCAACAATTCTACTTCATCTGTAACGACTCTTATATATAAAGCAAAATTAAGCTCTCAATTTTTCTCCAACACAGTTTTAATCCATTACAATTCTGACAACAGTAGTGACAAAAATTTATGCGTTTAGCATTTCAGAAGTGAATAAATTCCAGTTTTTAAAGTATTCTATAACAGTTATTTGATTTTTGTGATAATAACAAATATATCAAACAAGGAACCTATTAATCACAACAAAAGCTGACACTTTTAGATGCTGCTCTTGTTACATAAAAAAGGTCAGCATGAAAAACATATAGAAACAATTCAAGAAGAGATTGTGGAGCCTCATATATGCATCCAACTTTTTCCTTTCTATGTCATGATCCAGTCAAGGGATCCTTCCCAAATTGTCAGGGGTCAGTGAGTAAATGTGACACAATATAAAAACTGTTCATATGTGACTGTTTCTTCTCTATAATCTGATCCTTGTAACATATAAATAAAAACAGAATGTAATTATTTGCAAATCTCTTAAACCCCATTTTATTCACAAATAAAATCATATCAAGTATGCATATGGAGTAAATGTATAATTTTAAGTAATACATGAGCTCATTTTGAATTTAATGGAAGCAACATTTCTAAAAAAGTTGGGAACGGGGCAGGAAAAAGCTGTAAGCATATGTGGTATCAGAAAGAAACAGCTGGAGGAACATTTTGCAACTAATTATGTTAATTAGTGACAGGTCTGTAACACACTGGGTAAAACTCTGTGAACAAATTGTGGAAAATGTGAAGACTCTCACCATCTGCAGTAAATGAGAAAATCAAGAGATTTGGGGAAACCTGGAGAAATCGCTGCTGCCAATGACAAAAATCAGTATTGGATGCTGTGATTGTCAGCACCTCAGATGGCACTGAATTAAGAACAGACATGACCCTGTTATAGAAATGGATCAGATCAGAGAAGGACGTCTGATTCAGGGGAAGTCGATTTTTGGGAGGTGCCACTGGAGGAAGCCACATGATAGATGGAGATCTGGGTCAACTTGAAAGAAGACGCCTTTTACCTGACATCCCCTGGATCCCTCTCCTACATTCAGTCCACTCCTTTAGTTTCATGTGAAGATATCTCACATTCAGGTTAGTGTCTCCACAGGTGCTGAACCAGCATCCACTTAGAAAATGATAGAAAGCGCATACTGTGAAGACAATAGTAGACAACAAGCATTCATTATTCCTATGATCTGATTCAGTTTATTCCCATGGGATGCAAACCAACTGGTTTTCTGGTGGGCACAGCTGGTGTCCTGATGGTTGTTATGGTTCCTATACTTTGTGGAAAACATCACGCCTGTGAGGTTGTTCATGGGTCAGGCAGATTTCCAGACATGTGCGTGAGGTGAATGGTGTAGTTGCTTGTTGGCCCATCAAGGTAAAAATCTGTATTCGATGAAGCATCTGTTCTGTCTCAAGTCCTCCAGATCTATGTGAAGGACAGAGTTGCCTGAAGAGGATAGAAACTGAATCCTCCTGAGACAAAGCCAGAACTCCTCTGTGTGCACGAGAGAGAGATTTGGAGGCTCAGAGCCAACATGGTTTAACAAGTAAACATGAAAAGTGACGCAGACAAAGATGCTCACAGGGGTGCAGGCACCCTGTGTTAGTCACAGAGATTATAAAATTACATGATAATGATAGTGATGATGATAAGAATCAAATGTGGAATTTGAGAATTTATTTTCTCTGTAAAATCTCACCTCCATAATCTCCAAAACCATTTTCATACTTTTACTGATCAAAATTTACTGAACCATCCTTTCTCTTGCTCCATGGTCTAAGTTGAAAACATAGAGAAGAGGGGATTTAAATTTATAGCTTTTATATTTGCACGGTTTTTAAAACCTTTTTTGGCTGGTCATCACTCATTAATAAATGAGTAATGACCCTTCGGTAATGACAGAGCACTATTTTGTTTTTCTCAAGTAGAGCTCCCCTGATTCATCGAGTACTTCATCAAACAATAATTAGTTTGCACTACTTAATGCCTCACACCTCCCAGACAGGATTTTTGGCTTTTCTTTGCCTTGTATACAGTATTACACAAATTTGGGATGTACAAATCAAACAATGTGGTGATATTATGACTGGTGACAATTTCATACTGTATGTGTTTAATTAATCAATAACCCGTTACTGATAAATAACTATCTTTAGAGGTCTTATTCTTTTTTGTAATTGTTAGTAGCGGAGTCTATATTTATCAATCGCATTCATTTAGCCCTTATTTGCACAGTTCTCTCATGAAACTGTATTAATGACATGCTGAAAACCACAGGAAATATCCTGGACATGCTTGTAAATGATGAGCATTCGAGGTCTGATTGAATATTTCAGGTTTTTAATAACACATTACAGATATCAAACCATTAAGTCGCTCACAACATCACCTTAAGCTTCATTATCCATATTATTGATTGTTTTGGTCCTGCTGGTAGAGCCTGAGGTCAGGTAAGGGGTGAGTGTTGGAGCTTCAGCGCTGAAAGTTTCTGGCATCTTCTCAATGGTCTCCTGGGCTAGCTAACATGTTGGCTGTCAGCTGTGGAAAATTGTCAGAAAAATCTTTGGCTTGCAGAAAAAAATCTTCTCACTGACTCTATGTAGAAATCTTCAAAAGCTTTTTCAGTGAAATGTAGAAAGCACTACAGCACTGGCTCAGATGATCAGCATCTCAGTGAGATTTAGATTTGGAGACTGGAGGCTGCACATGCTTGTATGTGCGCACATATCACAGTATAATTCATGGACATGGTCAGAAACAATACTTAGGTAGGCTGTGACAGTCAAACAATGCTCAGTCAGTACAAAACACCCCAAGTGTGCCAAGAAAACATCCCCCACATCATTACACCACCACCATATCTAACCATTAACCCAAGGCAGGATGGATCCATGCTCTCATGAGCTTCACGCTGCTTTCAGCAGCTGAAATCGAGACTCATCAGAACTGGCAACCTTTTTCTGATCTTCTATTGTCCAATTTTGGTGAGTTTGTTGAATTGTAGACTCCGTTTCCTGTTCTTAGCTAACAGGGTAGACCCCCCAGTGTGATCTTCTGCTGCTTTAGAGATGCTTTTGCCAGGTACTTGGAGATGATTACAACTAAAGTTGCGTTTGAGTGGAATGTATTCACTCTGACTGAAGTGACGACAGGAGGTGAATCATGTATTTTATTTTCTTAGTTAGCTAAACCCTTCCCAGCGTTATGCACATTTGTTATGGATGAAGAGTCACCACCAAACAAAACAATCATAAGATGCCATTCATTTTTACTGAGGTCTCTATTATTTACCTTTTCCTCTAGAATATTGATCTTTGTCCTCTGGTAGATGAGCTGGTCACTTAGTTCCCTCACAGCCTTCAGCAGCTGTGTAATGCTTTGCTCCTGGCTCTGGATCACCTCCTGATCAGGGATGAATGTTGAAAAAAAAGAATGATTGTTAATAATAATATAGTATTGTGAGCTTGTATAACAGCATTCAAACACTGAGAGAATAGATGGAAAACAAAGATTATTGTAGCAGCCAAAAAGCATAAAGGTTGTCTGATTTATTTTAGAGTTTATTGTTGCACAATACTGTTGCAGTGATCTTTTTTTCTTTTTTTTAACCTCAGCAAAGTACAGAAACATCAAGTGCAGGTTTTCTTTCGAACAACGGGTTACTCACCCTAAGGCTATTGATCTCTGCTGCTCGTTCACTCGGCACAAGGCCAAGTGACAGACTGCTCAGTTTCTCCTCGAGGCCCTCCACTTTATTCTGCAGTTGACTTTTCTCTTGCAGGATGCTGTTCATCTTGGAGCTGATCTCTTCAGAAAAGCCCCTGAGTTCTTCATTGTTGGCCATTAACACAGTAGCAGTACTCTTCAGTTCTTCTTCTGTCACCTTGATTTCGCTGGCCAGCACTGACAGCTGGCTGAAAGAGCGATTGAAGATGTTGAGTTTTTGGAAGATATCATTTATCTGTCCCTTTGTTTTCTGCGCAAACTGCCGCAGGCTCTGACCCATTTGGAGGAGGCCATTTGCCGGGAGATACACGTCATCCAAAGCAACAAAGCGGGACTGACTTTCAGCAGGAGCCTCGAGGTGGAGGACCGGAGGTTCCTCTTCGCCACAGAGGGCAGGAACACAAGCAGCAGCCAGGGCAAACATGAAAACAATTCGTGTTATTCTCATACCTCGCTCTGTGACGGGATGAAGAGTTCCTGAGTGAAGATCCAGAGCTTTATACTCTGTCTGATATCAGATTAATGATTACCACGTTAGCTGAATCAACATCTTTCTACAGAATGTAGTTTTCTCCTCTCAGGGACTGTTGAAAGTCTGTTTGGAACTTATGCTTTATTCAAATTTTAAAGATTAGTATGTAAGTGTTATCGTCACTTGGGATGATACAACAGCATTCATTCACAGAATAACACAAAAATCATAATTGTTGCTAAATCTATATATAATACATCTATAAATTATATAGATGTGATGTTTGAAGCTAGCGTACAGGACTGTGAAAACCTGTGCAAACAGGAAAATACAGAGATTTTACAATTCTAACAAAGTTGAATGAAATGACTGCCTTTATTCATCAGCACAGTCTGAAATCCCCAAACACAGCTTTCTTATCAATTCTTTAAGTAGTCTTCAGTAATAGTTCTCCCAGCTTCTTGAAGAACATTCAAAGATCTTTGGATTTGTTTGGTTCTTAGTCACCAATCCTCGACTGATACCTTTCTATTATGTGTTTTTCTATCCAGGTATGTTTTTAAGCTTCTTCACAGACACCCTTTCACTGAGACCATTTCTGAGGCTTCAGTGAACAGTAAATAGATCATCTGAAAGTCCAGATCCATCTGTCAGATGCTGTGTCAGGTCTTTGATGGATTTTTTCCTATTTCTTAAGGGCATTAATCTGCTGTAGATAGTTTGTTAGGCCTGTCACTTCTTCTTTTGTCTTCCACTTGTCCAGTTTAAAATTTTAAAGGACAGCCTGCACACCATGCTGAGATCTGCTAAGCTTTCAGCTAATAGCTCTTTGAAAATCACCTTGCTGGTACATAAAACACCATTATATGCCTCTCATTTTAAGAAGAAAATGCAAAAGAAAATTTTAGAAAACTAAAGAAATGTAAATAAATGTCTTTTCACTGGAAACTATTAGCAAAGTGCCTAAAGATATAATTTGGTGTATTTTTTGTCTGTGCTTGAAAGATTTATAAGTCAGTGTTAAGTGACTTAAACAAACAAACAAACAAACAAACAAACAGACACAAAGAAAAACTTTGAAAGACTTTCAGAAAACGTGAACTGTTGCTCAAGACCAGCATAGGAAATGGCAAGAAAGTCGGGCTCCTTGGAAACAAAGTATAAAAAAATCGTTTGAACAGAAATCCAGAAATGTTACAGAAATGTTAATGCCTCTTAAAAGTCGTTATTTCATTTAATCTTTCTAAAGATGTTTTCCTCTGAGCCAGGACAGTGTGAGAATGCCTTGAACTAACCTTTAAATAAGGTCATGGCTGGTCCCCTCTTGTTGTTGCAGTAGTATGGTGGGTCTATTTGTAATTTGTTTTTTAAAAGATGACCCAAATTACACAGGATCAATTAATAACAACTCTGTGGTTTTGAAAGGCCGTATAGATGTGTAACATCACCGAAGATCAAACACCTGTTCCACCAATTCTTTACTCTACACGTCCCTCTAAAAGAAGAAATGTCCCCGTAAGAGATTTAGGTCCCCGACATCAATAATACATGAAACACACATTAGACTAATCTGCTATTGTATTACTGAATAACTTAGGTTATCAAGAGCCTGTGGGCATCTGGATTGACTGGTCTCAATTCATACGCTCATAGGTTACTGTTTCATGACTATACTGTTTTAATTGGCCAGTGCAGCCTCAGCTTACCTTGCAGCTCCCCTCACCACAAACCGCAGTTACATAATGGATATAATTTGGGGAAGGATGCCAGCTGTATGAGACCTTTAGGTCAACTAACCCACTTTAAACACTTCCATCTGCTTTGTGTTGTTTCAGTTGTTCTTTAACTGACAAAGTCCACATTGTAAAATCTATGTGTTTGAAGTGTAAAAAGCCAAAGGATAATGATTTTGGCTGGTTAAGATTGCGGACCAGACTGGGAAAATACAGATTATTTCATCAGAATGAAACTTCAGAAAACACGTTACACTTTTTCTTTAGCACGATTCTTGCTTGAAGGAGAACCTGCCTCTCGGCAAAAAACCTCAAGCTGTACTTTCCAGCAGAAAGCAGCTTCATCTAAATGGGAGGAAAATTAATACCCTGCGGCAGGCAAGCCCGAATGGTCTATTTGTGTGAGCTAATGATTAACTACTCATTTTCTTTTTAACAAAATATTTGAAGTAAATTACAAACTTATTTTATAAGCCATATTTCTCTTTATATATGATGCAACAGTAAATCTTTCTCTGAAACTGCCTTTGAGGACATTTGGCCAAGTTCTCTGCAGTATGTGGTCTGTCCGTCAGCAGTCATTTGCTCCAATAAAGACTTGTTTTTTTTCCTCTTTTCCCTCAGTTCAAACCACAATCCCTCTCGGAGTCAGTTGTCTGCTTGGGTAATGGAAAGGGGAGTATATCTTGCTAATTCTCGCTAATTCATTTTCCATCCATGGCAGAGCTAACCCTGCAGGTCTGACTGACAGACAAAGAGCCAACTCTTAAAGCTTATAACTTCATAACGGAATAAACTGAATGAGAGGCAAAGAAAGAAGACCAGTCTACATCAATGCTAGCAGCCCTGTTAGGCTTTATTTCAACACGTTCTCACTCCCTAAGCATAATATTTTACGCTAGGTGACAAATCGTCAACATTTTACGCTTTCGGGTACCCAACACGTTCCTACATGACGAGATCGGAAAAATGACAAAACATGAGAACCCTTTCGACTCAATTTACACATTTTCGTTCATTTTCTTAAAATCGCTTTGGAAAACACTATTTTACGAAAAAAAATAAGCAAATCATTATTTTTAGATTAGATTAAATTACAAATACAAATTGCAGTTGTTTCCTTTCTATAACAGAAAAATTAGTTTTAGTGGTTGAATGTTATGTGTGATTCATTTCTGACTTTTCAGTAGCCTGGCTCAAATTTGGATTTCAAAATGGGAATTCGTTTTTTTATTTGCCTAATGAATAACAACATAATTTTTAGTTTTAAATAAGTTTATTTTTTTAAAGATTTTCAAAAATATTTGTGTTTTGACAGTTTCTAGTGTATTTCCTGGGTTTACCATCAGTATATTAGCCGAAATTTGTATTAACACCAATCAGAGAAATCACTGTTTCAATTTGGGATTGTGGGTCAAGGATCCTTTTCTGCAACATTGTGAACAAAACACATTTTTGTTTAATCAAGGTTAATATCATACAGGCAGGTGCACATACTATCTCAGTGTTGTAGCGCCAAGTAAGTCTGCTTTGGATGGTTACACCTTTCTAGCTCATAATAAAAATACCTATGGCGAATATGAATGCATTGTAACTAGAGATGGTTATTACCTATCGGTATCGGTCGGATACTGACGTAAATTACTGGATCGGATATCAGAGAAAAATAAAAAAAAATGTAATCTGATCCATTAAATATCAAAAAAGCACCTCACAAAACTTACAACACGGAGTAACTCCCAACTCGGCTCATAACCGTAGCACGTGGGAGCAGTACGCATCATGTGATAGAGCGGCTGTGTGTATTTGTAGCCTTGCTAGCAATCCCGCATTTTCCTGGAAGTTATCCCAAAGAAAAGTAAAGCAAATGTGTAAGTTCATCTCTGGATGTTTATAAAGCATTCCCGCGTTAAGCTTGACAACCGATATATTGAGCGACTGCCTCTTCTCTCTCCCTCCTTCTCCTGTTGCTACTTCAATCATGAAACTGATCAATGATCAGCTGATCGGCTTTTCTGTCACGAGTCCGTCTCTCTTGTTTGTTTATTGCTCACTTCGCGCCAGAAAGAGGAAACCAGCGGCTGAACAACAGCAGCACGTTTAAGCTTGATCAGCTGTTGTTAGAATTTATTTACTTTCTAGACCAGGATCCTTTTCTACGTAGCTGACGGCTGGTAACTGTGCAGGGGTTGATCTAGCAAAGTTTAGCCAGGGGGGCTGATAGGGCATTAATAGGGAAAAGGGGGCACAAAGACATACTTTTCTTTCTTATTCTCATTTAAAATGTCTAGCTTTTAATAAATAATTATCCAAATCTTACACCCAAGTTTTAATCTGATGTAAAATGTATAGAAGTCCATTACTGTATATAGTAACTATTAAGTCTAATATACCCTAGTAAGCTATAGTACTTTTTCCTTTAGGAAGGTACAATGTGTGCAGTCTGCAATTCTGTTGAAAAAAGATGTTGAATCTATTTAATTATTCTTGGAAAATGATTTCTGTGCATTTTTTTCACACTGCATCAAATTAAAGTTAATTACGTCAATTAAGCATCATGAGGTGGAGGGTGCGTGGTTCCCTATTATTTTTTTTTATTAGATTGATCAGTATTGCTGAACTATGAAATATTTTGGGTGCAGTGTATTTTTTTACATACAGGTATAACAGAATAGCTTTAGTGGTGTTGGGGTTTTTTTTAACTTGAGTATGAACTTATACAAAAAGCAGCAAGATATTAAAAAACTGTTTTTTTGATTAAAAAACACACTATATCGGATTCATATCGGTATCGGCAGATATCCAATTTTATGATATCGGACATAAAAAAGTGGTATTGTGCCATCTCTAATTATAACCCTGTTAACACTTTAGAATGCATCTTCTCAGAACTACAAGTGGATACCTATAAAATAGTTATAGAGGTCATGGATACCATATGAATTTAGAAAATGTTGTGATATTTCTCAGAAAGAATTAATTCTTGGAGCATCTGTGGTCCTAGTTTTTATTCTCTGATGACTATGAAAGTTAAGCAGTCACTGAGATGTTGGTATTTCTCTCTTAACTAAAATAAAGGGATGAAAAAGGGCTCTGCTGGGCCACTCTGTGTAGAAAGTGTTGTACAAATACCTGCCTGTTTACCATTTTCGCAATGTGATGCTGATTCTCAGAGGAAGATGCTAGTAACAGGCTGAAAGAGGATCCCTACAGAACGAGAGGTATGCGCTGAGAGACTTAACCCCCGTGAATGCCACCAAGCCCTGTGCTTCACCCAGTGTTTACCAGATTATAGAGGCCACAGATCACATAACACTGGGTAGAATTTCACATTCTCAAAGAGGGAGGTCTATGAGACTCTACATGGTGACACAGTAAGGTGACTAGTACTTTCTCTCATTTCTTACCAGAAGCTCCATACTTTGACGTGTTGTCACCGGGGTTCCAAAGGAGCAGCTGTCTTTCCCAGTGGGCTGCACCACTGAACTTCTATTGGCTGCTGTCTGGAGGAGTGGGTGTGATCGTCTATGTCTAGCCTCCCACTTGTCAGTCTAGTTGGACAGGAGGCATGTTCACAAGCTCCTCCTTGCTCATTGCTCCCTTTTACACAGAAGTAAACCCAGCTTCTGTTATGGCAAGGGCTGCACGTTGGCATTTACCAAATAGCCGCAGCATGCCACTCTCCCTGACAGCACCTCCCTGCCTTCTCAGGAGACAGACAGGCTGAACTAGCTGAGAGCAGACGGTAGTGGACTATCTGGCAATCACTCCCACAGTTCAGCGGTACAGAGTGGGGGAAACTGCTCAACATGCCACAAGGTAAGCTCAGATATAATATTCATCCCATATCTGCAGGCATTTGAGGACTGTTGGATCAGACAGTTAATCAAAGCCGAGATGCAGAAAGATGACCTTGAATGTCTTCGATCAGGGACCGGCTGATTTAAATTCAGGGTCAGAAAAGCTTTTGACTCTAAATGGATTTAACAAATGGTGTGGAGTGGACTTCTGGGTCAAGTAAGAATACTAAACAGCTCTTCAGGACAACATCTTTGCATTCAAAAGATTAAATGTCGCTTTTATTTTATTACACTTTTACTTATGCAATGAAGACACAAACTCATTGCCCGCATTGCCCATGTTTCTATTTTAACCTTCTTATGTTAGCATATCATTGTTTTTTCCTTGCATGAGGCTCCAGGCAACTGTTTTATCCAATGTGCTTTGGCTCCACATACCATCCAGTGAGGCTTTGAATGCCACATTGCAACTCATTGCAACCCTGACCCTGGTGCTGTTGGAATGGGAACAGGGCAAGTCCAGCGGTTCAAAAGCACCAAAACAAAACATATGGGAGGGGATATCACAGAACCTGAAAAACTTCTAGGAACACTTTGAGGAGACAGTGAAAAATGTTTTAAAGAAACAGGGAAAACAGAGCAATAGGGAGACATAGGATGGGGAGGGGGATTCAGGGGGTTGAGCCCAAACACTTGGCTTTGCTTCCTAAATCAGCTCCAAAGAGAAGATGAGGGTTAGAGTTATGAGTTGGAAAAACCACAGGCTGTACAGCCAAAAAACTAGAGGAGAGGAAGGACTTTTTCCGGGAACACAGCATAGACAGTAAAACATGTGGACACATATATACAGACACAGTAAAGAAGCAAAGAGACACAGGTTATAGGTTCAGTGCACGGAGAAAGCTATGGTTTGAAGTTATTTAATCTCACTATTAACAGGTAAGGAAACACCTAAATCTTCACAAATATTCGTATCCTGGTATGCAGTACAATTGTGTCAAAATGTGTGCAATACAGTGTTGTCGGTGGCAATGTGACTACGAGGTCCCCACTCCTGTAATATTCAGAAACCCAAGAAAACATAAATGCATGGACTGATTCCATAAGTAATAGATGGACTCCATTGCAGCAGCTCAGCAGCTTGTAGGCAGAGCATTGTCTGAACCAGATGCTAACAAGCTAACAGTTGTTATCACCTTGATCATATTGCACTATATTACAAAAAACACAGGACACTTCCTCTGGGGATATAGCAATTCACCAAAACGTTGCCTCAATATTTCTGAAGAGAAACAGTAACCATCCTTAGAGAGTCACATGATTAACACGGCTAAAGATGAGCCTGGTGAAATGTTTTGCTATCATATATGACAACAGCAAATCTTGACCTGTTACTTTCAACAATAAATTAGCTCTTAGTCCAGTTTACTGCTGCTACATAGGGAGGCTGCAGCCATTTGACATCATGAGTGAACACTGAACTTGTGGTTTTGGTAAAGAATGCTGTGGACAGACATGTTGTGATTATGAGGTTTATGCTGATGCAGGGAGAGCCTTAAGGTCTGTATGAGAGAGGACGCACTCACCCAGAGGAGGGGAGCAGCTGTTGTGGGCACACAAGGATAAAAAGAAACTGAAGTAAAGGAAAAATAGCTGTGCGAGAAGAATGTGGCGTTCCTCCAGCCGAAAAACAACAAGAGCTGAACATAAAGGAGGCCTTGATTTTTTTTTTTTTTTTTTAAGAAAATTTGAGCCCATTGCAATGCTTGACGTTGGACTGAATTCATTATGTGCGGAGGTAGCAGGACTGCTGTGCACTGCTGTTTGGCTGGGGCCTGTTTGGGGTAAAGCAAATATTTTACATTTCATTTCGTGGGTTTCCTGTGAGGTGGGCCTGCTCCTCCAGGCGCAGACAATTAAAACCTATGCCACAGAAATGTGGAGAGAGTTGGGCAGTGGCTCCTGGGAAATGCCTAACCCTAACTTTGCTATATTGTTTCCTCTGTGGTAACCTGGTGAGGAAGAAATGTTCGGGTCTATATTTATGCGTAAAAATGGACGGCTTGCGGGCAACAACAAGCAGTGTGAAGCTCCTTTGTTTGCTCGAAAACTGAAAATAAAGCATCTAAAACTGGCATTCCTATTGCTTAATATTCTACATGCAGTTTTTAAAAGTTTGACATTTTTGGAGATAATTACTTTACTACGGAGCCCCGCAAGGGACATGGGAGAAAAAAAAAGTACGATGAACTTTTGCGAGATCTCGCAAAACTAACTCGGGATCTCGCAAAAGTTTTGCGAGATCTCACATCACTGGGGAGGTACTGCACAGAATCCTGCATAAATCATTCTTTCTTGCGCCTGTATACCTTGTTTATTGAACGTATACCATATTTAGCTGCTTCCAACCACTGTAATAACCTATTTTAAGTCTCTCCATTTTTTTCATGTTTTTTCTCCAATATTTCAAATCACAACAACAGCTACCTCTTGGTGTTTTATATTGTCAGGTAAAGACCCTACAATAATAGAAAGAAAACCCCAACAATCAGACCACACCCCCCCCCCCCCCCCCCCCCCATGACCAAGCACTTGGCGACAGTGGGAAAGAAAATCTGCCTTTCCCCAGGAAGAAACCTCTAGCAGAACCATCTACCATGACAAGTTGGGAAGAGAGTCCGAGAATAATAATAACTAATGATTAAATGCAGAGTGGTCTATAAACACATAGTGCGTGCAAAAAGGTAACTGAAGCTTAAAAAAAAGTGCATCATGGGAAACCCCCAGCAGTCTAGGCCTACTGCAGCGTAACTATGGGGGCGTTCAGGGTCACTTGATCCAGCTCTGGCTTTAAGTTAAATACAGCGCTGCTATGTCCGCCTACTCATAAGAAATCAAAAAGTGCATTTTAGCCCCACCAATTTCTTTCTGTGCAAGTACTAAACGCTTATATTTTTCTTAAAGTAAGCCAGACATTTCTTATTGAGAACCTAAAACTTCTTTACTTGTAAAAGAATTTCTTGTTGTCATTGGGTTGAAGTCGAGCCAGCAGCTTATATTTTGAACTGAGTCAACAGAGAGATCGGGATGTCTGCAGTAACAGGTGCTCTGTGCTTCAGCGCTGATTGACAGAGACAATAGTGAAGTCTCTGCTTGCAATCAGCACGCTCTTTTTCTATTATTCATGCTACACTAGCTTTATGGAAATACTTCTTGTGTACCTCTTGATTTTTCTGTATATCTGGAGCACCAGAATGGTCTTCAATTAGCCTTTAAAATGAAGACATATCTGGGTCTCACTGCCTGACATGTGCTTTAGCTTTACGCCCACATGTACGAGCTAAACTTAGACTTGTCAGACGGAGGCCTAAAAGAGTCCTCCCAACATCATGGAAGCCACAAGAAAATAACAGTAAATAATGTAGTTTTAGTATCTAATACAGTGGTTAGACATATGCAAGGGTAACAGAACTGAATATGATGGAAAAAAAGGAATAGTTTATATTATTCTGTTCGTGCAAGAGATTTTGGCTATTAAAGTCAGAGAAATGAAGCTCAAAACAGTTTAAACTTTAGTACCAAACAAGTGCACTCAGTACACTGATAGGGGACCTTCCCTGAATGTTGCTTGTCATCTCTCTCTGCACCCTGCACTGTTAATACTCGTCAAGTAATTTCTTTTTTAAAAATAACACTGCTTTTTTAATTTGTTTCATGTCATCTTTGATTTATCAGTTATTCATGGCACAATACTGAGCATCAAATTATTTATTTCTGAAATGTAAATCTCTGTGTTTTTTTTCTTAATCAGGAACTGTGTCGTATCCTGTAAATATATATGCACCATATTTCCAAATGTACAGCCCTCAGTATCTATGCCTCATGTATATGTCTCAGTGTGCAGGCTTTATTCTGCAAAATTGCTCACATCCCTGCGTGTCTGCAATTTGCACATTTCTTTGCCGTTTACTGCCGGCCACCAACGAGTGTGTGAATGATAGAGGTGAAAATTCCCAGCAGGGACATTCGGTGGTGTTTGTCTGTTTACTGCATAGCTGACATTGTTTGGGGCTGTGGCTTGGTGGCCGCCGTGCCTCAAGAGGACAGCAAGCAGCCGCAGAGGCTGGTGGTCAGGAGAGAGGAGGGGAAACGTGGGAGGCGGGAAGAGGTAAAGATTTAAGAGGGGGAGATGCTCAGAGAGGGAGGCGGGGGGAGGAGTGATATAAAAGAGGAGAAGGGCACGCCAGTATATTAAAAAGGCAGTAGAGCGTTGCACTGTAAAAATACATCACTTTCCAAGGTGAACGATGAAGTTCTAGATAGTTCGGTGATAGAAAAACAAACTCTCTGAAAGAAAACTGTAGACCTAGTAGGAGGCACAGGGAGAGAAGGAAGGTTGGAAAGTATTGAGTCAGAACAATGACTGTCTGTATTTATGTCTGTAGGAGTTTATTTTGCACTGCTGGCCATAGCTGCTGGGCTAAACAGTCTCAAGCTATTTTCAGCTCTCGTCCTGGATGGCAGGACTGTAATCAAGTGAAGATCAGGCCTGCCACTGTTGAATAATAGCTGCCTGGTGGACGGAAGAAATGAAGCAGCAAGAGTGCGAGAAAAAATAGAAAACTTTGGGAAGAGAAGAGAATAAGAGAGGGGGAGAGAGAAAAAGTACTTCGGCGTAATTGAATGTTTGTGTTTTGTTATCCACTCACTACATGTGGGTGAATGAATGAGCATATTGTGTGTGGAGCACAAACAAGGATGATTGCTATTCCGTCTGGTCGCAAAACTTGGACCGAGTCTGCCACCAAACGCACCACAAATAAACCTCAAGTCAATGTCAGAGCCAAAATGTTGAAATCTGCAATATGCTCATTACATTATTATATAACCACACAATAATCACTTTGACCACTTGTAAAAATGCAGAAACAGGTTTCTCATATGTTGTTGGCTTAATTTAGTCCTCCTTTTTCTTGTCAGATGCCCGAGGTCCAATCAGATAATGTGTCAACACATTTTTTGGAGAACTAAGGAGAACAAATGATGGCGACACAAAATGGTAGAAAAAGGTTTTTTGCTTCAGAAGTTCACTGAATCTGATATTTATTTGAAATGCATGCTCACTTACTGTTTCTAATTTTTGCAGGGAATATTGCACCTTGTAAAACAGCACAGAACGGAATCAAGGAGAAGCCCCCATATTCAGTGGAAACCCCTTATGGCTTCCGACTTGACCTGGATTTTCTGAAATATGTAGACGACATAGAGAAAGGGAACACCATCAAAAGGATTCCCATTCAGCGCAGAAGCAAGGAAGTGCGCGCAAGCACTTTACCAAGGCACCTCAATGCTTCTGGGTGTGGCTACCGCCCGAGCCCCTGGGGATCTACCGGAGCTCTTGGCCCCAGGTCTCGATTGTCAGACGCCCATCATCATCATGGCTATACTTCCTGGGCATATGATCACAGGCCACCTGTTTCCCCCACAGGGTTTAAATCTTTGGCAGAGATGGAAGCCAGAATCAAGGAGTTTGATGAGCAACCTCTAGGGGAACATATCAGACCCCATCTCCTCCGTGCCTCCAGTCTGCCACTTACGGTTTTACTGAGACAAGGGTCAGAGTCTACAGATGACCACAGCAGCGTCTGGAGTTCAAAGGATCACCTTGGGGGAAGAAACATCTCATGTGAAGATGTGTTCCACTCTTCGGACAGCCCTCGGCCACAGGACTGCTCAGGTCTGCTGAGGCGCCTCACTGAAGCCCTCGAACGAGTGGGGGACCTTGAGATGGAAGTGAGGGTCATTCCTGAGCTCAGAGCGCAGATCTGCATCCTCCAGGAGGAAAGAGAAAGACTTCGTCTGGGACTGAGTCCACGTGACCATCCCTCCACAATGAACGGCACCACAGATCCTGGTACATCCTCTCACAATAGCAAAGTATTGAGAGGACTTCAGCATGAAAGTCACAGTATATTTCCTAGAAATTACAGTGTCAGCCAAGATGACTCCAATCCTACGCATGAGTGGAGGACTAGTACAGATCTGGATGAGCTGCTGACAGTGACCTCCCTGCAAGCCAAAGTAGCTGTGTTGGAGCAGAAGCTCCACGAGACTAGCCTGGAGCTCCAGAGAGTGTCAGGGCTGCTAAAGGAGCAGCAAAAGGAAAGCAAAAGGAAAGACGAGAAGATAGAACACCTCATTAAGAATCCTGCGGTGTGGGTCCGTGCAGAGAGGGTGGTGGTAGATCAGGATGGAGATGAGACGGTAGTGAGATCAGAGTATAATAAAGCACCTTGCTTTATTAGTAAAAGAGCGGTTAATGCAAACGATCAAACAAGGCAGCAACACAAGTCTGCGGTCAGTTCAACATCGTCTGAAAGACGTCCACTGGTTTCTGAAGGTACAGACACAGCTGAGGTGATCCATCACATAAAGAAGATAAAGAGTCTGCTGGAGCAGCAGTGGAAGTGTTTGTGCACAGAGAGTGAATCAGGAAAAGAGGGCAAGCATCTAAAGCACCCAGATCCCAAAGTCAACTCTCTGCAGCAGGAGATGATGGGACTTGTCGACATCCTCATGTCCTGCCACAAACAGCATGGAGACAGTGACGGTAAGAAGATTCAGCAGGTAGCTATACAGTTGAAGATAACAGAAGCCACATTTCAGAGTTAATAATAGTAACACTGAAGTCAAAGTGAGCCAGGATCAGTGTTATTGTTTTTGTATAAGAAATCCCCACTGGGTTTAATAGGGTTAGCCAAATCTGAATGTTGGAAGTGAGTCGGCAGAGCTTTGTGTAGTGCAAAGAATAAGAATAATTTTCATCTAATAATTGTTAACAACAACAGCATTTCATTAGCTGTATGAACCTTTGTATCATGTATCATGGAATGAGGTTAGTTTTTTTGTGAACCCAAATGTAGCACACAGGAGATAGAGGTGAGATAAGGCCAGCATTTAATGCTGACTAGTCTAAAGGTTTGCACGGTACAAAAACAGAAAGCAAAGCTAAGGAAAGAAAATTACCAGGAGGCATGAGGAATTATTATTCAGGGAACGATACGGGGAGACTAAGTAAAAAAAACAAAAGGTAATAAGGTAATCAGGGAGGACAAGACAAGGACAAGAACTCAATATAAAGCACAAGCGAGAAAGGAATTGAACAGAGATGATAGACTTAAACATGCAAACTTGACAAAGAGGGGAAGACAAAATAAACCAAAGGCAGAATACTCGAAAATCACCAGAAACTGAAACAAAGAACTAAGACTGAATGTGTCAAACAAGAATAAAGAGAAATGATCAAACTGAGAACCAAAAGAAGGTTAAATAAGAAGAAGAATTCCAAGACCATAACAAAAATTTTAAAACCCAGGACGATGACAAATTGAGTAAGAGGAAGCTGATAAGCAAAAGGTTTGCTTATAGTCAGTTTTGAAGCTCAAACTGAGTCACCATTTACTTTAAAAGACATTGCATCATAAAACTGAGACAGATGGATTAGAAGGAAACTGATGGGGTTTGTGTTTTGTTTTTTTGTTTAACTGATGAGTAGGCGGCTCTTGGATTTACAGGCAGCATTACAATTAGCTTTAGCAGTGATGAAATGGTTTATGCAAACATAAACAAGCCATTGAATCTAATGAGGAGCATGTAATGCTGACATTTCATCATATCCTTTGTGTTTGTCTTCTGTGTAGCCTCTAAATCCATCCTGCAGACAGAAGGATGTGCCCAGACGTCGAAAAACCTACATTCTGGGGGTGTTAAAGAAGGGTTAGTAAATAACTCCCTGACTTTAGCAACCCTAAATGTTATGATTGTCGGTTATTTGATTTGAGGTTCTGTACAGTCCCGACACAGAAAAACATCATGATTTAAGTCTGAAATATGAGTACCACTCCCTGTTGTCAGTTAAGGGGAGGAAAGAGGCAGCTCCTGTATTGTAAAATGACACAGTGATCATAAACCATATTTCAAAGCCTCACAAGTATGTTTATTTCATTCATCTACAATAAAATAGCCATAAAGGAATGTGTTTTCTGGTTCAGCATTACAATTCAAGTAAAATATCTCCTTGACTGTACAAGCAGGAAAGTATTCACAGCCTTTGCTCAATATTTCTTGAAGCACCAACCACTTTGGCAGCAACTACATGCTGAAGTCTTTTTGAGTATGATGCCTCAGGCTTGGCACGCCTATTTTGGGGCAGTTTCTCCCATTCTTCTTTGAACAACCTTTCAAGCTCCATCAGGTTGGAAGGCAACATTGTTCACATCCATTTTCAGATCTCTCCGGCGATATTCAATTAGGTTCAAGTCTGTCACAGACGGGTTCTGCTGCCACGCCTTTGTTATGTTGGCTGTGGGCTTAGGGTAGTTGTCCTGTTGAAAGATGAACCTTCGCCCCAGTCCAAGGTCCAGAGCACTCTGAAGCAGGTTATCATCAAGGATGTCTCTGCACAATGCTGCATTTATCTTTCCCTCAACCCTGACCAGTCTCCCAGTTCCTGCTGCTGAAAGGCACCCCCACAGCATGATGCTACCACCACCATGTTTCACTGTAGGGATGGTATTAGCCAGGTCATGAGCGATGCCTGGTTTCCTCCAGACATGACAATTGGCTTTCGGGCCAAAAAGTTTAATGTGTGAACTAGAGATGGACCGATCCGATATTACGTATCGGTATCGGTCCGATACTGACCTAAATTACTGGATCGGATATCGGAGAAAAATAAAAAATGTAATCCGATCCATTAAATATCACGAAAGCACCTCACAAAACTTGCAACACGCCGTAACTCACCTCAGAACGTTAGCACGTCGGAGCAGTATGCATCACGTGATAGAGCGGCTGTGGCATGCGGGACCTGTCGGTGGTCTGGATAGCATTTGGAGCTTCGCTAGCAACCCGGCATTTCATCTCCGACAAAGTTATCCCCGAGAGAAGTAAAGCAAGTGTGTAAGTCCATCTCTGAATGTTTGTAAAGCATTCCTGCGTTAAGCTTAACGAGCGACTGCCTCTCGCTCTCCGGCTGCTACTTCAATCGTGAAACTGCTAATGATCAGCTGATCGGCTTTTCTGTCGCGAGTCTCTCTTGTTTGTTTTTGGTCCACTTTGCGCCAGAAAGAGGAAACCAGCGGCTGAACAACAGCAGCACGTTTAAGCTTGATAAGCTGTTGTTACAATTTATTTAATATTACTTTCTACACCAGGATCGTTTTCTACGTAGCTGACGGCTGGTAACTGTGCAGGGGCGGATCTAGCAAAGTTTAGCCAGGGGGGCCGATAGGGCATTAACTGGGAAAAGGGGGCACAAAGACATACTTTTCTTTCTTATTCTCATTTAAAATGTCTAGCTTTTAATAAATAATTATCTGACACCCAAAGTTTTAATTTGATGTAAAATGAATAGAAGTCAATTACTGTATATAGTGACTATTAAGTCTAATATATATACCCTAGTAAGCTATAGTACTTTTTCCTTTGGGAAGGTACCATCTGTGCAGTCTGCAATTTTGTTGAAGAAAGATGTTGAATCTATTTAATATTTCTTGAAAAATAATTGATTTCTGTGCATTTTTTTTCACACTGCATCAAATTAAGGTTGATTACGTCGATTAAGCATCATGAGGTGGAGTGTGAGGGGTGGTTCCCTATTTTTTATTTATTTATTTTTGTTGTTGCTGGGAGTTGGAACCCTATTAGTTAGGTTGCTTAATATTTACGCTAAGTACTCTTTAAAATACCAGAATAGGGAGGATGGTGTAGGTTTAAGTTTATTAGATTGATCAGTATTGCTGAACTATGAAATATTTTTTTTGTATACAGGTATAACAGAATAGCTTTAGTGTAGTTGTTGTTTTAAACTTGAGTATGAACTTGCAGACTTGCAAAATGCAGCAAGATATTTTAAAAAACAGTTTTGTTGATTAAAAAACACTATATCGGATTCATATCGGTATCGGCAGATATCCAAATTTATGATATCGGTATCGGTATCGGACATAAAAAAGTGGTATCGTGCCATCTCTAGTGTGAACCAGAGAATTTAGTTTCTTGTGGTCTGAGAGCCCTTCAGATGTTTTTGGGTAAACTCCAGGTGGGCTTTCATGTGACTTTTACTGCGGATTGACTTTAGACTGGTTGCTCTACCCAACAGGTCTCATTGGTGGAGTGGTGCGGAAATGGTTGTCCTTCTGGAAGGTTTTCCTCTCTCCACAGAGCAACGCTGGTGCTCTGTGAGAGTGACAATCAGGTTTTTGGTCAGAGAGGTGACCTTTCTACCCCATTGGCCTCTATGAAGAGCCCTGTGGTTTCAAAGGCCACTGTGCTCATTGGGAACTTTAATGGTCCGGAAATGTATCTGGACCCTTCCTTAGATCTTTATATAATTACAATCTTTATGTTCATGTTATATATTTGGTTTTTATTTTTAATAAATGTTAAAAAAATTTAAGCACACTTTTTCACTTTGCCATTATGGAGTATTATGTGTTGAATTTTGACCAATGGACGAGTGAAGTGCTGTGAATACTTTCTGTATGCACTGTATAAGGGTTCTCAGCCTCTGACTCCCCTAAAAATACATAAGACATTCAGACTAGTCATTGGTTTGAGATAATTAAGCAAATTCACAAGATTTACTATGTATAAGTTCACCAACCTCTGTCACCGAAATAAAAAACAAACCAAAAGTGTAGAAGCAGTTGTAACATTTAACATGTACCTCACTTTTTTTCTTTCATTTTCTATAGAAGCAATGAGACTGCCAGTAAAAATCAGGCCTGTATGAGCCAAAGTGTCCATGATGATTTGGAGCAGAGGAACAGTAGCACAGTTCCTAGGGAGGTGGCTCCTGCCCAGCTGGATGCAGACACAGAGAAGAGAAGAATGGAAGAAGAGAAGCAAATTGACCCAGGCAGACAGATGAAACTGGAAGGAACAGGTTTTGGGGGGACAGATGGAGGTGATGTATCTCTAGTAGCTAGGGCTACAGAGAAAACGGCCAAGATGAAAACACAGCCCTCAGGAGAACAGATGGAGGGAAACTCTGGCTCGGAAACAACCACCAAAGGCAGGTGAGAGGACCTCAACAAACACCCAATCGGTGTCTGTTTGGAAGATGTAATTGCACTCCGCAGGAAGCTAATTTCATCTGATCATAATATAATATGTTCCTCATGTTTTAAAGTGAACTGTTGCTCTATTATGACCTTCCTTGAGCATACATATACACATTTTTTTCCTCTTCCAGAGAAGCAGTGAATGCAGATTTTATTTCTGCCTGTCATTTCCTTAATAATCACATGGACAACATGGACAACCCCAATGATGACATGGTAAGCAGTCAAGACTAGAGATTAAATTTAAAAAGATATGAAATATGTCTGTGAACTACAGAGACACTACTGTGTGATCACACCAGCAGAGACACAAATGAGTTCTCAGAACCCAGCCAAATAAACATCTTGGACGGTTGTCATCCTATCATGCTGACAAAAATCTGTCCACATAGAGACTTGCAGTATAAATGCCTGCTGAACAGTTTGCAGTACCAGGTTGGGAACTGAGGTATCTGCAGAACCCTTTACGCCAGAACGAACAGACACTAAACAGAGTTTAATAAGGTTAAAAAAAAAATAGGCACAGAGCTGGCAACACCATTTTTTCCTTCTTTGTGGTTCTATTTGTTACTTCATTGCCTTGTTTTGAAGTGGATTGAAATCACCACGCCCGTGAACTTGCTTCTATTGGGACATGTTGCATTTCAAAAGTTGAATGTTGCTACAATGATGTAAATCATTTGATTGTTGACTATAATTTTGGATTTTTGAGTTTGGCAGCTGAACAATACCAAATTAAGACACGAGGGTAGCTCGGAGGAGTTATCATGCAATGCTAACACCAGCTAGCTAGCATTGCTAACAAGGCTAAACCATAATTCATTGCATTCGTAAACGGGCCAGGTTGTTAACATGTTTTGTTTTCTGATCTAGAGTCAGATATTTTAACATAGACATCTAAGGGATTTGTCATGAGCAATGTTCCTTCTAATTTTTCACGTGTCTGAGCGAACACACAAACTCCCTGAGCGATCCCTTGGACCACTGTGAGCAACAGCAGACGTGTGCACTGTGGTCACGCCAGCATCAAATCCATCCAAGTTACATGGTTTATTAAAATAATCAAATTACAGCATTTACATTTATGTTAGACTACTTTTAATTAACTGCTTTAGCCCATTTAAAAATAAATCTTGTTCATGATCTGTCTAGTATGTTAACACTATTGGAAGTAAAAATAACTTGAACTCCAATTTTGAAAACAAAACCTTATTTCTTTTTTTCTTCCTTTTTATATAAAGCTCTAAATTGTTTTATGAGTATGAGTCTGTGGTCTGGGAGAGAGTCCTGTAACTCTCTGTCTGCAAAATACAGTATATAATGACCAATGTTGGGCAATTAATTATATAGTTACTTCTTCAAAAAAGTAACTGAGTTATGCAAACAACAAAGTTTTTTGCAGCTGTTTACCTAAAAATACAGCCAAGGTGGGTTTTTTAAAATAAACATTTCAAACTATTTACAGAACAATCAGCTGTTCTGCATCAAATCTGATGCCACACAAATTATTTGTGCCACTCCAGAAAATAATTTCTGTCCACTATGAGATAAAGGAGAACAACAGCCTGATACCTGCAGGCCTGACAACAGGAGATGTATCACTGCTGTAACACCTGTGACATTCAGCAGTCGCCTCATTGTTCTGACACACACAACAAAACTACTGACTACACTACACACTAACTACACAAGATTTGCGCTAAACGTCTCAAATCTCTCACATCTCAAAACACCGCCGTCACTCCAAAACTTCCCCCTTCCTAAACAACTAAATGCCATGCTGCCATATCATTTTTTTGATTGGTCGACATGGTACATTTTTCAACCAATAGGAAAGGGTGGGGGGTGTTTTGGTTTCATCTTTGCTCACAGGCGGAGAGCGCTTTCAAGTGCTTTCCTTATAAAACGCCGTTTTTACCGTTTCTTCCCGCAGCAAATATAAACAATGACAGTATTCAGGAAGAAAACCAAACACTGCAGATATTTTTTATCATAACTCTGGTTTTACGTGGCCGATCAACACAATTTAAAAACTGGTATAAAGTCCACACTTTTTTTCCGTCAATTGTTCTGTCTGTCCTGCTCACATCTCCAATGGTTCTACACGTTGTCATTAACGTGGCTTCACTCCACATCAGCCACGCCGCTTTGCTAGCTAAAACACATAAGGACGCTGTCATAGCTTGTCGACGACGTTGATTAGCCGCGTATGTGCGAATGTGAATCGCATTCTTGGTTGGACTATGGGATAAGGTGGCATCGTTCTAATCCCATACTGGAGCAGCCAGTCACTCACTGACTAACACTGCAAAACAGAATTGTTAAAGTATTGATTTTAATTTCAATTCAGGTTAGATTTTTTTTGTATGCAACGCAGATTTTCTGACCGTGCCAGCAGTGCGCAATTGCGCACACGCGCAGCTTAGAGGGAACATTGGTCATGAGGTGCCATTTAAGGAGCTGCAGTTTGCGGCACTGCTATATTGGCTTTTCCCAGCCCCACAGAGGGGCTTCAAAGAGAGAATGTTTTATATTTTATATTCTACAGGTGGGCAGAAAAGCAACTACTCAGCCACAGAGCAGCATTAACGCTACTGGATATGATGTCTTTATCAGATACACTTTAAACAATAAAAATGCAAAACTTGTCCTCAGAAAGAGGACATGTGTACCACATATTTCTTTAAAGCAGGACTGCTAAATGTTCTAAACATGTAATATATGTTATTAAATTCATGCTTCACCAGGAATCGTTCTTATTCATATATTTTCCAGAGGAAGGCCCTGGTTGTGTTGTTCCAGCACTGGTTCAGTGCAGCAGCAGAGGAGGCCTCTGAGGCCAGCAGGGTGGCTGCATACCTGAAACACATAAAGAAGGAAACACCCTCCCTGCTGGCCTTTCTAGTCAATCTGGCGGACGACAACGGGAACACAGTGCTTCATTACAGCGTCTCCCACTGCAACTACAGCATTGTCACCCTGATCCTGGATACAGGTAACATATAGGTAACCGTGTTGTCGAAGCTATTGTAATATAACGTTTGTTAGTACTAAAAACGTCTGACATCTTCCCTGTGCCACAGGTGTCAGCGATGTGAACGTTCAGAACAATTCTGGCTACACGGCTGTGATGCTGGCCTCGCTGACAGCCCCTGATGGACCCGGCGGAATGGAAGTTGTCCGCAAACTAATGGAGCAGGGCAACATTAACATTCACTCCAGCAAGGTACCACAAGCAATAAGAACAAATGTAATAGGGATGAGGAGGGGAGGAGGGGGATATCAGTGTGAGATGGCAGCGCAGCTCCCTCCTATAGCACCCTGTGCTGGTTTGTACTGTTTTCTAGGCAGTGAACGGAAAGCTATACCTAACCACATCCATTATTAATGAATCACTTGGTAGATTTTACACAAGAAAAAATGATCAGTGACAGAGTTCATACTGAGACTTCTGTATAATGTCTTCTGTGGCTCTGGGAGGAAATTTTCAAATTCAGAGAAAGCGGATGATGTCATCCGGAATATCTTAAACTGGGGTAAAGGGTTTGCACATTCAGCTTTGTTATGAAGAGTTTGAAAGACCTGGGTATGCATGTATACCTATCTTTGGAGTTGCTGGCTTTTCCCTATAAAACTGAGGTTAGTAAGACGCTGACTACTAAAAGATAAAGAATGAAAGCTGAAGAAGAAAGAGGAGATTTGAACAATTCTTGGTCTGGGCCTCACACTCTCTCCCTCTCCGCACAGACGGGCCAAACAGCTCTGCACTTGGCAGTGAGACATGGCCGAGTTGTGATGGTTCGCCTGCTGCTTAGCTGTGGGGCAGACGCTAACATCCAGGACAGCCAGGGAACCACAGCGCTGATGTTCGCATCTGAGAGGGGCCACACGCACATCGCAAGGCTCCTGCTGGAGAGAAGCCAGTGTGATCTCACTCTGACTGACAAGGTAAGACCACATCAAACAAATCATCATGTAACCTGGGAAACAATGCTGGCAAACTCTTTTCTGTGGTCATTTTCAGGGATCACAGTGAACTGGATCATAATGTTGTGATGCAACAATAGTCTGGGCATCATACCCATTAAAATTCAATTTTAGGACACTGAATTCATGTGATGATTCACCTCCATTTGTTAACAAAATGGCACATCTATCTTAGCATTCACATCACTGAATGCAAAGAAAAGCAGCTTAGATGCGTGAAAGCTTGAATGTGTTGACACACACTGTGGATGTGAGTGGACTGACAGTCTGGATGTAGCAGAATAGAGCTTCCCTAGGATTAATCAAGACTACAGTAAGACAAATCTCCCTGGGCTGAGAGGAGCTAATCCGCTAACAGTACAATATCTGTGCCATGCGGAGCAAGTGGAGGCAGGGAAAGAGCAACGGGGGCAAATCTCTCTTCTGCTTGTGACAGTCTACCTTTAAAGTACACTTAAGAGTGTACTTTAAAGGTAGACTGTGAGAGAATGTCTCACCTAAACCCACACTACAGGGAGTGCAGAATTATTAGGCAAATGAGTATTTTGTCCACATCATCCTCTTCATGCATGTTGTCTTACTCCAAGCTGTATAGGCTCGAAAGCCTACTACCAATTAAGCATATTAGGTGATGTGCATCTCTGTAATGAGAAGGGGTGTGGTCTAATGACATCAACACCCTATATCAGGTGTGCATAATTATTAGGCAACGTCCTTTCCTTTGGCAAAATGGGTCAAAAGAAGGACTTGACAGGCTCAGAAAAGTCAAAAATAGTGAGATATCTTGCAGAGGGATGCAGCAGTCTCAAAATTGCAAAGCTTCTGAAGCGTGATCATCGAACAATCAAGCGTTTCATTCAAAATAGTCAACAGGGTCGCAAGAAGCGTGTGGAAAAACCAAGGCGCAAAATAACTGCCCATGAACTGAGAAAAGTCAAGCGTGCAGCTGCCAAGATGCCACTTGCCACCAGTTTGGCCATATTTCAGAGCTGCAACATCACTGGAGTGCCCAAAAGCACAAGGTGTGCAATACTCAGAGACATGGCCAAGGTAAGAAAGGCTGAAAGACGACCACCACTGAACAAGACACACAAGCTGAAACGTCAAGACTGGGCCAAGAAATATCTCAAGACTGGTTTTTCTAAGGTTTTATGGACTGATGAAATGAGAGTGAGTCTTGATGGGCCAGATGGATGGGCCCGTGGCTGGATTGGTAAAGGGCAGAGAGCTCCAGTCCGACTCAGACGCCAGCAAGGTGGAGGTGGAGTACTGGTTTGGGCTGGTATCATCAAAGATGAGCTTGTGGGGCCTTTTCGGGTTGAGGATGGAGTCAAGCTCAACTCCCAGTCCTACTGCCAGTTTCTGGAAGACACCTTCTTCAAGCAGTGGTACAGGAAGAAGTCTGCATCCTTCAAGAAAAACATGATTTTCATGCAGGACAATGCTCCATCACACGCGTCCAAGTACTCCACAGCGTGGCTGGCAAGAAAGGGTATAAAAGAAGAAAAACTAATGACATGGCCTCCTTGTTCACCTGATCTGAACCCCATTGAGAACCTGTGGTCCATCATCAAATGTGAGATTTACAAGGAGGGAAAACAGTACACCTCTCTGAACAGTGTCTGGGAGGCTGTGGTTGCTGCTGCACGCAATGTTGATGGTGAACAGATCAAAACACTGACAGAATCCATGGATGGCAGGCTTTTGAGTGTCCTTGCAAAGAAAGGTGGCTATATTGGTCGCTGATTTGTTTTTGTTTTGTTTTTGAATGTCAGAAATGTATATTTGTGAATGTGGAGATGTTATATTGGTTTCACTGGTAAAAATAAATAATTGAAATGGGTATATATTTGTTTTTTGTTAAGTTGCCTAATAATTATGCACAGTAATAGTCACCTGCACACACAGATATCCCCCTAAAATAGCTAAAACTAAAAACAAACTAAAAACTACTTCCAAAAACATTCAGCTTTGATATTAATGAGTTTTTTGGGTTCATTGAGAACATGGTTGTTGTTCAATAATAAAATTATTCCTCAAAAATACAACTTGCCTAATAATTCTGCACTCCCTGTAATTAGAGTGATTAAACTGTGGAAAAATGAATTTATATGGCCTACAGAAACACCAGCAGTTTTGTGCGGTAACACAAATAATGTTAACTTAACAATCAAATGGACAAAGTCAGGAAATCACCAAATTCTTCAAGGGTTCACCATCTGGGGACCCAGAATCAGTCACATTAATGTTGCACTTTGAGCTGAAATGTTGTTTTTTTCTTTGTTTCCTGTTTGCCAGCGAGGTCAAACTGCGCTTTCCATCGCCATGCAAGGTTCCCACGCCGATACAGCTGCCCTGCTGCAGGCCCACGCTAAAGCTCGAGCTCTGTAGAAGCGGATCTGTTCACATGTCAGATCCTCTCACCTGAGTGGCGCTTCAAACGCTGGCTTTTTTTTCTGAAATCTGGACTAGTGACAGCTGGTGCGCTGAATGGGATGATATTACAATGAGGCTGTACTGCATGAGTAAGTGAGGCAGATGATGGTTGCTAGGGCAGCATGCAATGATCTGCTGTTTTTATTTTGTCTTTACCATAGATGTTTAAGATTATCGCTGATCTTTGCACATCCGTGCAGCAGCTTCGCTCTGCAAACTATGCAATGGAAAGAATATTTATTATGTTTGTTGTATCTAAAAATCTGTTTGTAAGAAGATTCTACCTGTATGTTTCCAAGGGGAATTCTCAGCATTTCTAAGCACCACTTCAATAAAATAATTTCAAAATACTGCATGCCAACGAAATAGAAACAAATCCCTGGAGCCGATCGACCAGTTTGTTTATTTCACACGCTGGTAAAAACTACACTGATGTATGCAACGCCTGTTTTTAATAAAATAACAGAAAAGCGATGATATTTCATTGTTTGAAACGAGCAACATGCAGTGGCAAAGTCGCCCAGGAGGTGGCGCAGCTCATCCATTTCAGCATCACCGCCAACATCCAGCCAACTCAAACATAATAAGAATCCCCCCTACAGAAAGCTACAGCCGAGGCGAACCTAAAAACGCTCACGTACAAGGAAGTAGATATAATCTCTTTCAAGTGTGACAGACGGAACATGGTGCCTTTTGATTTGCAGTGATTCCACTGTGTGAGAGGACAACGTGTGAGATTCACCTGCACTCCAGCTGTATGTCACCTAGGAATGCTCAGTCAGTTGTGAAATCAGATTTGTTTAAATGGCCTTTGTTTCCTCGAGCCCCCTGGGAAACAGCAAGGGGCACTGTGTTGTTTTTTTGTGCACAGAGCTGAGATTATGTTTGTGAGATAAGACAAAAAAAGGATTGCATAGATGGCGAAGGCGTTGGATTTCTGTGTGACAGGGCACGGGTTCTTCATTTCCCCTGAGGATTTCTTCCATTCTAGCTGACTGGCTGTCCTGCTGTAATGACCACGAGCAACTATAAATCGTCAGAAAGCGAGGAAGATGTGGCAGACTGAGATGGAACGGGCATCTTTTCTATTAGTGAAATGTATCCGTATGTAGAAATAACAAAAAAGGAGGCCGGCATGGAAATGCTCTGTCAGAATAAAGTGTTTCAAAGAGATGATAACATGTAACTGTGGATACACACACACATACGCATGTCACATGACTGCATAGGTGCGCGTCCCCCATCCCCCACTCAAAGAAGCGGGTTACAGCAAGTAACAGTGCTCATCTCAGCCTTTGTGCAGGGATAAAAATGTCTGTGACACCTCTTTTTGTCTGCAGGGAACAGTGGACTAATAAAACATACCTATTCCATAACACCCTGAGGGGGTGTGATACAACAATGGAGGGGGGCGTCTGTGCAGTCTGAAAGCATTTGCTGGCTTCAGTTTAATAATGATAATGGACTGGATTTATCTGCTACAGTGTCTCTGTCTGCTGATGAATCACTGAATGCAGAGTGATTGTCAGCGTGGCTTCATTTGGTACAGTCTGTAGAGTATTTCAGCTAATAAGAACTAATAATGTTATCCAACTTAATGCTGATATTTCTGCAGCTTCCACAGACAACACTTGTGCTCCGTGTGGTTCACATAAAAGGTAAAATGAAAAGCACTTATTAGCAGACACTGTTTGTGATTTCCCTGCTTGTTAGCTTGTGCTGCTAGTTTGCCAAATATAATGCGGTAGGGCTAAACTTAGCATTTGCATTTGTTTCAGAAATGATTGCAACTCCTCCATGTTTTGCACACTTTCCTACATTATGGATTCAGCTTGGTTGGAACTGCCAAAAAGACTGGACAGTCAAGATCCAGGTTTTTAAAACTTGTGGAGACATGCCAAAAGTACTGACTCAAGGCTTGGAATCCTTTTGTGCTGAGAAACCTCTGATTTTGATTTTAATTACATTTGCAACTTAGTATAATTTGACTTTTAGAAAAATTCCAGTTTTATTTAAAAAATCAAAAGTGTGCAAAATGTGAATGGGGTTTGAATACATGTATGACACATATTGATGTATACAAGGGATAGAACTAGTAGCAGAAGTGCAGCAACAGCATTAGCACTGATTTAGGGTCTTTCTGAGGACTTGATGAAAGCTTAATATAAATACACACCTCTAGCTCTGTTTTTGATCTCAACTAAATCCCAGAGAAAATATCAGAGTCTTCAGGTGCCGCATACTAAGCTAAACTCACGTCTACCATCTGTTTGCAGCATCTGGAAAAGGGTAGCGAGAGACTGAAACAAACAATAAATGTGGATCAGAAAACCAAAATGAGGTAAAAAAAAAAAAGTGTTTAGTGTTTCTGAGAGTTATACCTCATTCATTTTAATGGAGAGCGACAGAATACTTAAAGTTATGAATTTATTTGCATGTCACTGAGTGAAATAAGTAATTGATCTTCAAGCAAAACGTGACTAAGTACCTGGTGGGGGTAACATGTTTGTTGCAGGTCAACAGGTTTGCACACATCTCAGGAGCGATTTTGGCTAACTCCTGGGCGGGGTGGCTGTAGCTCATGAGCTTAATAGCTCTTTCTTTAGTCACTCCTTTGTTGCCTTGTTGATATGTTTTGGGTTATCGTCATGCTAGAAAGCCCAACCACAAATTATCTTCAGTGTTCTGGCTGAGGGAAGGAAGTTCTCGTTTTCACAGTGCATGGCCCCATCCATTGGCCCCTTAATGCTGTGAAGTCGTCCTGTAACCTTAGTAGAAAAACAGCCCCAAAGCAGAATTTTTCCACTTCTGTGCTTGACTGTGAACATGGTGTTCTTTCAACCATACTCAGTATTTTTATTCCTCCAGACATGGTGGCCAAATTGTGGGACACAGAATTCACACAGGTTGCAGGGGATCAAATACTTATTTCACTCAATGACATGGAAACCAATTAATACTGTTTATGTAATGTGTTTTTTCTGGATTTTCTTTTTCTCTTAAACCTGTCTGTTAGCTTTTGTAATCAAAACACTGTTGTTCCAAACATATTTGCTTTAAGACTCCTCTTGCTAGTGTTTTTATTTTTATTTTCTTTTCTTTATTTTTTGAAATATTTGTTTGACATTGTGTCTTTAAAATATTATAAAACTTAGAGACCGCAAACTTCAAATTCACCTGGGGATTAAGTAATTATTTCTACCACTGTAATTGAAATAACTGCTCCCAGCTTCCAGAGATTGCTAGAGAACTGAAGTGCTTGCTAATCTAGCTAAAGCTAAAATGCTCAATCAGAGCTATTTAACTCAATGCATTAAAGATTCAACTGAAAAACCTGTTTTGTAAATGTAGGGCAGTTAATGCAAAATCAATTAAAACTGGCATAATTAAAACTACATCACATGAATTTATACATTAATATATTCTTCAAAGCAGGGACCTACTGGCTTATGGAATAGACTTGTTGTGTCACTTTTTGGATCACATGCATTTGAACTATTGTTGGTATAAAAGCATCACACTGTGCAGCTCTAAAGCAACTCATCTTGTTCGAAAACTCCTTAATGGTAATAACGTGTTGCAAAACGAAATAATAAATACAACAGCACAGGCTGTTTTCAATCATATTTTATATATCAATATATAGAGATATTCAAAAGTAATCCAGTACAGGAAATCAAAAAAGTGGAATCAGTTTGGTCTTAACACAGTTCATCATTGCATGTACAGTAGATGGCTGATCCCTGTCTATTTCATGAAAACGCAAGAATTAAAACAACAACAACAACAAAAAAAAAAGGCACAAATAAACAAAACTCAATCATCTCATTGACACTGAGGTTGGGAAATGTTGCAAAGATGCGGGTGGTTTGGGGGAAGGGTCTCCACGTTTTGTGAGGGTTAACAACAAAAGAAATTTTGCACAGAAAAAAGAGGATGCGAAATGATGCACAGCAAGAAACAACACAAACCACTTTGGTGGATCATTTGGATTTTTTTTACAATCAGGGAATGCAGTGCTCTCCTTTATACAAATAAATTAATATACCTGTCAACACTTTATCTAAAATCTTATGTACAGCTTCTCTTTTACATAAGTATATAATACATTATCAAAAACTTTATGAAAACATATTTACAAACCAATGAATCAAAAAGCACCCTCGCAGCTTTTCCACGGTCACACTCGCTCACACACTCACTAACACACCTGTTTCCACGCACTGTTTTCTTCCATGCAGTACACAATACAGAAGGCATTCTAAGAGGATTGTGCAACAAAGAGCATACAAAACAGTTCAGATATGGCTGTGGGATGAACGTTAGCACACATGCATATTAATGAACACACACACACACACACACACACACACAACTAGACTTTTAAGGTTTGTAAGTGGCGTATATGTGTTAAAGATGTGGGGGGATGACGACACCAGTATGAAGCATGTTTACTGACACGACAAGTTGGTATCACCCTCATTACATCACCCCCTGACTTTCGGTTTCTTCGGTTACATCACATGACAGGCCTTTCTAGACATGCAGCCACCGGCCGGGCCCTCCCACACGGCGCTATCCAAAACTGTCCACTCAGATATCGGCCATCGCAGAAAGTGGAGACTGTGTGCGTGCGTGCAAGTGTGCGCGTGTGTGTATCTTGCCTGAAACAATGAATGGCTGCATTGTCAGTTGGTGAACAATTATGCATGCTGTTTGTGTTTACGCTCGGCAAGTGCACACTGTCTCCGTCCTCGGGAGAACAGCGTGAATTTGCTATCACTGCACCCCATGTGTATTTCTGTGCACATTTGTCACAGTCAAAAGCAGGTGATCAAATAAAATTATTAACACTCGAGGAATTTTGTCAACCACATAACGCTGCAGCTGCCTAAAGCGGCCGCCTATTGCTTTTCTCAAACCATTTAACATCTAAACAAGCCACAATAATGAAGACAGAACTTCTGTGTAAAACCCACTCCCCTCTAACTCTCCCTGCTCTAAGAAAACAAGCTGAATACTCTTTGTCTCATTTTTTACTTCGCTCAGTCTGCAAACCTGCTGCTCTTTAACTAAACCTCAGGGGTGTTGAAGGTCAGATAAATACATAACCTCTCAAATCAACTGTGTTCAACTACACCTTGAAATGTTAGACAACTCACCCTGAAAGGTCTTCCTCTGAACCAGAGAGAAAGCACAAAATGTAGTTAGTAACCTTTAAGAATCAATCGCAAAATGGGAAAAAAAATCTTCAAAGAAACCCACACAAATGTTACTTACACAAGACGAGTCCAGCAACAACAATGTGATTGGCTCTAACATGAATCTGTACAGATTGTCCCATCAACGCACAGGCTGTCCCAGTTCCACAGCTCCTCCTTCGCTAATAGCGTTCCCAGGGCACTGCGGGCCCACCGGGAATAACACCAAGCCCAAATTAATACATCAAGGATGACAAAGAGTCTCTCACTAGCCCCTGTCACAAAATATAAGACACACAGCACAAGCCTCACTCAATGCAAAAGAGGAACCACTCTAACTCCATTATTCCAGCTGAGGTCAAAGTCAGAAACACGTTAGCACACATTTATAATTCAGTGATTAATTCTCAGCATTGACTGAAGAAAAATGAGACTCATCTCACAGAAAAAAGGTATGAAACTATTTTTTTAAGAGTCCTGTTTGTCTTACTGGTGGTTTTCAAATGGGAACTGGCATAGGATATGGCTGGGAATGACTGCATGTAACACTTGATGATATGTTGTTCATTCCTTCAGCAAACTCAGTCCAAGTCACCTCTGACCTCACTGTGTGTGCGTGTGCCTTGAGCGGCCATCTTTTCCAGGAGTTGCCTCCTGTTTGCAGGTCACTTTGCAGTGGAGAGCATGGGCTGCTCTGTGTACCAGTGAGTCCCGGGATCTGGCATGCTGCCCCCGAGAGGCAGGGCAATGAACTGCGGGCAGGTGCCCCCTCCCGCCGCCACGACTCCCATGCTGACGCCCTGAGGGTACGGGTGGTGGTGCGCATGGTGTCCCATGGCGTCCGTCCGCCCGATGTGGATCTCGTCCTCCTCGCCCTCGCCGGTGGTTTTGCGGTAGACGGGGTTGTCGAAGTTCATGCTCTTGGTGGAGTTGCGCCGCCAGTTGCGCCACACCAGGTAGACCGCGGTGCAGACCAGGCCGAACACCACTGTGGCAACGATAGGAACTGCATGCGTTTAACACACAGCGGCAGGGACATGGGAAGGGGGGGCAGCGTTAATGAGGCATAACGAGTCCATGGCATGAAATGACAGGCACAGAGGGGAGCAGAACAGGCATGCGGGGGGACAGAGGGGGCAGGGGGCTGCGGTGCAGAGGTTGTGTGTGGGAGGCTGGGCTAAACGCTGGGTCAAACACCAACCAACATGTTTTCTTTATCAAACTCTAAATCAGCAACACAGAGCACCATTAAGGGCCAAAATGGAGTAATTTCACTTTAAACTGTCCTCAGGGAGCACAAATTTGAACTCATTACTGCACAATCTCCTGGCAACTCATCACAGCATATCTGTCCTTGAGTAAGCATTTTAATTTAATATTGTTTCATTAAATTACACCAATAAAGCTTTCGTGCTTTACTGGCATCATATTTTTGGGGCCCTTTACAGAATGTTCCCCTTATTAAGTATATAATGAGAACAGTCCATCTGATCTAACGGGCTCACTCATTTTTGTTCAGCTTCATTTAATTCAGCATTATGTATTAGTGCCGCACCTTTTGTAGATGCACAGTGTACAATAACATTTCTCACATAGACAGCGTGCTCATTTTCCTGCAGCCTTTAGATTTATCTAAAGATGATGTCTTGTTTTTCTTACCTTTAAAAAACAAAAATCTTAAGAAGACCAGCACATCATTACACAGCTACACTCAAGATCAAGCTCTAAAAAGGCCTGTTTACAACTATTACATAAACTAATATTTCCCAGTGCATCGACCAAAGCAACTGAGATAATCTCGGATTTACCAAAAATATCAGTACGAATCCTAAAAGCATTCTAAATTCTATATGAATATAAAGATAGTGAGTCAAGCAGTGACGTAAGGCTGTTATAAAGTAGGTCTGTTTAAATATTGTCTCTGTGCTTCAATATAAGACTTATTCTCTTTAATCCCTGTTTTCTAAATGAATCATCAGGTCATTAACCATTGATGAACGCCTCCCCATATTTAGTTCTCGAAGTCTCGCCCTCTCTGGGATGTTTACTTTTTTAAGCCAGACATGTTAATAACCTGTTAGCAGTTAACTTTATCAACTTTTTCTACAGCCTTTTCACTCTTTTGTTGTCCCTGTACCACTTTTAAAATGTGTTGCTGGCATCCTTTCTCATCATTTCAACATTTGTCACTTCTCATCATTTGTATGCTTTCCTTTATACTAAAACGGCATTTTAATGATCGGAAAATCACAGCATTGCATTTTTAATTATATTTTACTCAGCTTACCACCTTTTATGTGGTATAATTATCACCTCTTCTTCCTCTAATATCTGTGAACACGCTGGTTGATTACAGTGTCTGAGTCAAACTCATGGAGCAAATGGGTGTTTTTTTGTGTTTAATTAAGCAGTGAAACCTGGCAACAGCAGATTATTGTGCACTAGGCAAGTTCGCCAGTCTTTGCCTAGAAATGAGAACGATTTTATCTACAACACCAACTCCAAAAATGGTAAATAAAAGCCGATTGCATGTGTGTGTTAATCTCATGAACTCATATTTTATTCACAAGAGGACACTAAAAAATGTGTTTAAACGTTTAAATGTTTAAACTGAGATTTTTCACTATGTTAGAAAAAATAATTGAATTTGATGTGCCAATAAAAGTTAGGATGGAGACAACAAAAAAGGAAAAGCAACATTTTGCAACTAATTAGGTTAGAAAAAAGAAAACTACAACAAAGAAGATCCTGGACTGTTGAACAGCTAGAATCCTATAACAAACAAGAATGGGACAAAATTCCTCTCCCAAAAGTCAAACAGCTGGTCTCCTTAGTTCCCAGATGTTTACGGGCTAGTTAAAAGAAAAGGGGATGCTACACCGTGGTAAACTCGACCCTGTCCTAACTTTTTTGAGAAAATGTTTAATATTTTTCTTAAAATTGTATATTTTCTCTTTTTAAACGTTTAATATGTTTTCTATGTTCAACTGAAAATAAAATAAAGGTTTGTAAGATTCCCATCACTGTTTTTATTTACATTTTACTGATCATCTCAATGTTTTTTGAAATTGGGTTTGTCTGAAATCAGACTCTGAGACTCAAATTCTCCATCAAACAACCTGCTGTGAATGAAAAAAAAAGGATTGTGTTCATTTAGATTAATAAACTACTTTCACTGAAAGTAAAGTACTCGAACTTCAGACAAAAGATCTGAACCCAACACAACATGGTGTGAAGTGAATAATGCAGTGTGGCAGCAATGTCAGACACACAGAAAATGACTCCTGAGAAACCTCAGTGGGGGAGACCTGTAGGCCAGGCTTCTCTCGCCTTGCCACAGCAAGGTCAGTGTGGATGGGCTACAAACATTGGCCATAGGCAGCACTGAGACAGCAACCTTGCAGGCCTTTATCATGGACAGACAAAAACAGACAAGGGGAGCTGCAGCTAACTTACCGATGGGGATGACCACTCCCAAAACAGCCACAGTGAGGTTCTCACCCAGGAGGAAATGCTCACTTCCAGCTGCAGGGAGAGATGAAGCAAGTGAGAGGTGTTAGAGCGACAGGAGGAAAAGATGGAGGAGAAAGAAAGGAT